GAGAAGCGCAGGATTTAAGACGAAAGACCTGAACAAGAAAAGTGCATCTAATTGATGTCTCCATTTATGTAAGAAATGTATGCTTAATTTCTCTAGAGCATCAATATAAGTATATGGAATATGAATGAAAAAACGATAAAAACAAATGGAAACAAACTTCTGCTGGATGTGCTCAACGAGGTGATGGAGTTCCAGACTCCTGAAGCGTATTCCAACTTGGACCTGACTCAAAGTAAAGTACAGTACATACAGGCACTCCAGGGAGGAAAATCTATAGGTAATGGAGCGAATAAGGCCTAAAAGCTTTATGCATTCAGAAAATATGTAATTAACATGTGTGTGTGAAAATGTAGCTTTGAATCAAAGAAAATACCCAGGTCATTAATACTACCATGACCAAGCTGATATTCATAGCTCAGAAAATTTGGCATTTTCTGTGACGGAACTGTGTCTATATTCCCACTGTTGTATGTTGCAGTTCTCGCAGGCAACACGCATTTTGATGGAGAGTGACATGGGAGTTCCATAATGAAACCTGTCTAAAGCATTATATCAGCTTCCACTTTGGATGGTCTAAATCACTTTCATGTATGTCTTACAGAAGTGTTAGAAGTTACAAACGTTTGGTAAAGTTTTTGTGTATGTGTAAAATGGACTCTGTATGCTTGCACCTTACCTCTCTTTTGCTAGTTTCTATGGAATAAAGTACAGCCAATGATATCTCTTTCTCAAAACTCATCCTGTAAACTGTGGCTCTCATATCTGCATACAGTATCAGCCTGTGACAGTTTATAATAATTGACAGTGGCCTTTTTCTAAACACCTGGTAACTTGAAAAACTGTTGTCTCCTTAGATGTGAGGCCATGTAGACTGGTAGAATGTTACCACCACTCTGGAGGAACACGTAAAGTGATAAGACCCTGAAGATGGAGGCCTCACATTCCTCAGAAACTTTGGTAACATTTTGCCAGACTACATGGTTTCACATCCCAGAAAACTGAAATCTTTGTGGTTACAGCCATATGTGTGTGGAAGATCTTGGCTGAAGACTTGTTCGCTTAGAGAGTATACATTGTAATTTCACATACAGGGAATACACAGTCATGAGTAGATAACAGTTGGTTTT